TTTCTATTACCCTACGTACGTCTCAAAGCTCAATGTTTCGAAATTTCAACTTACGGCGCGAGTTTGATAACGTAACTCGTAGATAAGATGTAAGATAAGAATTGAAACACACAACAAATTCTTTATCATTTCAATTTTAACTGCTCTGTAAATACGTCGCTTGCTTCTTCTTCCTTCGTCGATCTACAATATTCAAAATAAATTAAAATCGATTTCCATATTTTCCAAGTGCTTCTACAGGGTGATTCACGTAACTCGCACGCCTGAAATAATTTTCAAATCTAATGATCGCGTCTAACGAAAAATTGTTTAGTACAAAAGTTGTATGGTTTTAAGGGAGGCAAAATATGGCGTATTAATTTTTTGTGGGCTTCGAAATTTCCAAAATCGTCTTTATTTTTTTTTTTTAATTGGACAGTATATTTTCCATCATAAATCGGTAGAATATTAAATTCCAAGTAAAAACGTATTGGTTAAGAAAATATTTTATTTTATAATTTGATCATCAACGTTCGTGGAACATTAATGTGTGACAAGCAAATGGTCCTAATGCTATATCCAGTTTTCATTCTCAAGACAAATTATCGTAAAATATCTCCTTCGCCATTAGATTTAATGTTAAGTTAAATGTGGCTTAATAGTTTTTTACTTGGAATTTAATATTCTTCCGATTTGCGATGAAAAAAAAATATATGGTCCGGTTAAAAAGAAGAATAAAGATGACGTTGGAAATTTCGAAATCCTCCAACACACACGAAAAATATTGATACGGCATATTTTGCTTCTTTTAAAAAGTATATAACTTTGGTATTGAACAATTTTTCATTGGACGCGTAATTTAAAAGTTACTTCGGGTGTGCAAGTTACGTGAATCACCCTGTATACAGATTTCAGTACGTTTCTGGATATTACTGTCCGCGTTGCCCAGCGAGTGAAATCGTCACCGTCGTCTGTCGGACATTTTCGTGCATTTATTCGTGCAATTTTTACCATGTTGTAAACACGGCTGTTGACGTTGCGCCGCTTTGACAAACACTGGGCTGGGTTTGTCGAATATTTGCAAAGAACGATTTTCAACAAACGTTCTCGGTATATCTGCGAACGTCGATCGCTAAGAAGCCGATTGTTATTGGCCGATCTGTTGTCAATCCGTGTCGCTGCTAAATTAGATAACTAGTTTGTTGAAAATCTGAACTTCGTTCAACGGAGACTGAATAATCATACTGGTAAAACTTTCGAGGTTGTCGTCTGAGTATCGAACAGGTCAGCGGATAATTCAGCGACTCTGTGAATTTCACTCGCGTTTTATTCGAGCGGCGAAACGTCATTTAATATCGACGATAGAGACGTAGAGACGAGCTCTAATATCGATACAAGAGTCACGTGTGCGACAGTTCGAAGGACGAGGGTAAACATCCATATTTTTGCGAGTCTATCTTCATATCGGAATTGCATGAGAACTGTGCAAATACCAGTGGCTCACGGTTATGATGTGTATTAATCAAGCAAGATAAATATCGCTCATTCCCTTACGTTGTTTTTCTGTTGTGCCGATGCCCCGATTTTTCAAAGTCTTACAAACAGAGTGTATTTTTTAGCATCCGACGAATCCATCGATTCGATTTTTAACACGTTTTGCCTTTGCACATTTTTGGGGGGAATAATACGGCGAGTAGTTGCAAAGTAAATTACAAAGAAAGAAAGTGAAAAGAAAAGTTTGTTCGTGGCTATCATAGATGAATTTTACACCTTCGATTTAATGGAAATAAATTTCTCGAGAATTTACAAAGATCTTGAATTTTAAGGTCAAAGGATTTTTCTTCTTGCATTACATTCTACTCATCACGTAGGTAAAGCTATCCCAAGAAACCTAATTGTTCTCTTGAAAGATGGCAAAAAAGTTTCTCAAATCATTCAACTCTGTAAATACGTGCGTTCTAACAGCGACTTTATGATTCTAAACGTATAAATGTAATGTTTATATTTCTAATAACGTTAACAATTAATTTTATTATTTGATTATTTAGACTCACACTACATGCTACAGTCTATGATAAATCAAATGTTAAAACCTAATACGTAATATAGACATCTATGCGTTTAGAACCATAAAGTCGCTGTTAGTACGCACGCATCTGCAATGTTAAATTGAGAAACCATTTTTGCCATCTTTCGAGAGAATTATTCGCTTGCTATCTATGGTTCCTTGGAAAAGTTTTACCTTCGCGATGAGTAGAATACAATTCCAAAAAAGAAAAAAAAAAAATGTTGACCTTGAAATTTAATTTTACGGCTGATTCTTCACATGTGTTTCCATCAAATCGAAAGTGTAGAATTCATCTATATCTTTATCTATATCTTTCTGTACCTGTACAAGTCTTATCTTACAAACAGAACGCATATAATTTCATATAATTTCATATAATCCACCGATTCGATTTTTAACACCATCTACATTTTTTGGGGGCGAGGCAATAATACGGCGAGTAACTGCCAGAGAATTAATAACTACAAAATTGATCCGT